GGGGGGGGGGGGGCGGAGAAGAAGAAATAGAGGGAGAGCCTGGAGAAGAACAGACAGGTATACCACCAATTCATATACAACTTTTGCACAACACATCACCTAGCATGCCTCATCAGACCCCTTTGATACTACGGTAGCGGCATTTTGGCTAAGATTACGTTTAGTAGTTGATGATTAGTTTAATATCTGATCCGTGGTCCATCAGGCAACACGATATGGAACCTTTTTGTATTCTGCATTTCCGGCAGAGGAGCTTATCATCATTCGTTTAAAAATGAGTGATGATAATAATATTAAACTCATGTGGGAATGATAAGGCCAGCAGCCTGGCATTCTGTGAATGTGGATTACAATTTACATCCTTTTTTTCTGGACCACAGAGAAGTTGAAAACGGATACAACAATATCACCGAATGAATAAGAAACTGGCAAACTGAGCATCAGATGAGCTGTATGAATGTTTTCCTGAAAAGAAGCGGGGTGGTGATTTCTGTCCCTGACTCCCTGCTGCATTCATGTCTTAGCAAATGAACCAAGGACCAATCTAGATGGAAAGAGAAGATGGAGGGGGGGTAGGAGAGGGAGGGGATTGAGAGGGAGGGGAAGGAGGGGAAGGAGAGGAAGGGGATGGAGACGGAGAGGAGGAGGAGGGAAGGGGAAGGAGAGGGAGGGGAGGAGGAGGGAAGGAGAAGGAGGAAAGGAAAGGAGAGAAGGGAGGAATGGGAGGAGAGGGGGTTGAAGGAGAGGTGGGGGAGGGGAGGCAGGGAGGGAGAAACTCACTTGAATCCAAGGACTGCTCTACATGCTATGCCAAGTGCCAGAGATCCTTGGAACAAGAGGCTGGGGACTTGAATGAGGTCATCAGGGCTGGATGGTGAGACAGAGAGTGCAAGTCCGTAAGCAAATACCCCAAGAGAGAGTACTCCTCCTGCGACTGGTCCTGCTATAGAAACATCAAACTTTGCGGTTCTGTCTGGACAGATAGATGCAAACTACACACACACAGACGAACAAAATTGGAAAGGAACAAACAACCCGTAGTCATGCACCAGATCAATATTTGTCAGTTAAAATGTTTTGTCTCTTGCTACTGCAACTTGTTTCCACTCTCAATCTGTTGTACTCCCTCCTGACATCCGGTTCCTTTCCATCCGACATTTCATCTCCATCTAGTTCCGGCACCCTACAACCCCCAGACCCCAATCGCATCCCTTCTCAAATGCAACCCACCTTTCATGATGAAGGCATTTCCAAATATATCTCGATCACCCCTACCCCAACCCATTAGACAAGTCCTCGGCACAGTCCACATTTATGAGAGGCTTCAACCCCCTCCTCTCTTTGTTCCCTCACGGCATCCTGTTTCCTTCAAACCAAAAATTTTCTCTCACCCCGCTCCATTTGCCCAAAACCCCACATCTGGATGCCTACCCTACACCTTGGATAACATAGCGTTATGAGAGGCTGGCCCAGCAACAGACTGATTCAGTTATCCGTACGACATTTCAGACTTTTCCGTTCAAAGCCTGTGTCACACCTACCTTTTCATTAACAGCACCAGAAGGTGTCAGACATCATATCATGCAAAAAGAGTTGGAATAAAAGAAGAAAACGATTTTACCCTCATGCTGGCAGTGTTGCACCGAGCATCACAGCTATGAGAAGAGCACACCAAAGCTGAGAGAATGGTAGTGGCCTGATCTGTTAAAGAACGCTTGACATCACTCTGCTCGCCGTCCTCCCATAGTCTGCACAGCAATCATAGAATTAGGTGCAGCTTCATCGCTTCCCCCCTGACCTCTCTCTCTCTCTCTCTCTCTCTCTCTCTCTCTCTCTCTCTCTCTCTCTCTCTCGCCCTACCGCTCTCTCTCTCTCTCTCTCTCTCTCTCTCTCTCTCTCTCTCTCTCTCTCTCTCTCTCTCTCTCTCTCTCTCTCTCAGAGTTTGCATGTGTGAAGGAGAACCCACGAGATACAGAGATGCAACCTTCACCTTGCCTTCCCCTTTGTGCGCATGTGTGCACCATAACCCGTGGGTTAGAGGGATCTCTCTTCACACCCTCCTCTTCTCCGTAGCTTCCCCCACTCCCAGCATACTAGAGTGAGTGAAAACCCAGGGGGCATGAAGGTTCGCTCTTGCCTCCTTCCTTCCCCAGACCCCACCCTACTTCCTCTCCCCATTCCCTTCCCCTTGGGGTGCCTGTGTGCACGAGGACACAAGGTCAACAAAGATGCAGAGGAAGGTAGAATGGATCAAGAAAGATAGATGGAGAGAATCCACCCATGTGAGTGACAGAGTGAAATTTCTGTCAGCTAATCGTACCTCGTCGCTTTCCGAAATCCATGCCCACGTACATGTTTCTCTCACACATTGTTTACCAGCCCTGTATGAGCAGTTTGCATGAGTGAGGGAAGCTGAAATGCACCAATATGACATGTCTACCTGGGTTATAGCACCAAAGCTGCCAATTGTTATGTTTGGGATGAAGTAGGGCATTCCAAGACGCATTTTCCTTGGGAAAGCCGCCACCCAATGACCAGCCTCCTGTGGTAAGCACAAATACCACACGCCCATCCACCCACTCGTCCACACACACACACACACACACACACACACACACACACACACACGCACACACACACACACAGACATGGTGAATCAGTGAAAGTTCGATAAAACAGTCCATCACAGTCACCCCTTTTTGTGGAGGTCTATTAAGCAAATGCAAACCACAGACATGTGAATCCTTCACCCCTTTTTGTGGAGTTCTATTAAGCAAATACAAGGTAGTGGGACCGCATCCGGTCCCAGCTGGGCACGGAGCAATAATGGCCCTGAGTCCGGAAGGTGATTCTGTGGGGTCTGGCCACAGGCCCAAGACAGGTCCTTTGTTTTCAACATCTTCGACCTGGGTAGGAAAGCGGTCCTCTGGAGGGGAAGGAATTCACAGAGATAATTAAACAGTGCATAGAAACGGAAATACACGCGCAATGGGAAAACGCAAAGGAAAGGATCGTGTCTCTTTACACAAAAAAATCAGACATCAGAGCACAAATCAAAAAATTCTGCAATGACTGGCTGGGGGGGGACCAAGCGGGATGGATGGCTGAGGTGCGATGGCAAGGGGGGGCTGGGTGAAGGTGAGCAATTGCTATTCACAAGAGACTACAAGCTCCTTTTTCATGAATGGACGACGACTGACAGCTCAGTTCAGCTGCGGCCTCCATCAGAATTCAGTGATCCCTTCCCCTCGCACTCTCTCTCTATGGTGGATCTTTAGTGGTTTGGGGGGTAGTTTAGGGGGATAGCAGCTGCTAGAGCGTCTGCTTCCTATCTGGCGGCTCCTCGGGAGCTGAAGAGGCAGCCGGGGTTTGGTGGGAAAGGGAGGGTTGTTTATCCTGAGGCATCTTGAGCCGAACCCAGGTAATGGCCCCGGTAAATATCTGCATTGTGTATCTGGGACACTGGACCCAGTTTCCAGCAGGTGCAGCTCCCCACCAATAGACAGGAGCCACCGGCAGGCAAGTGCTACAGGAGGATGCTCGTACCAGCCCCCGTGGCACAGCCAGGCGATGCTTAACAAAAAAAACAAAAACAAAAACAAAAACAAAAACAAACAAACAAACAAACAAACAAACAAACAAACAAGGCACACACATGTGGATCCTTAAACAAAAACTCTTTCTTTCTGGATGCTCTGCTCCACAAAATGTTAAGCAAAACCATCAAGGCAAATAAACAACGTGAAGGTAATCAATACATCTCTCAAGCGTAGCACAGCCAAGAGACGACCCATATGTACATCATCGCTATACTGTTATGGATCCACGAAAAAATGAGATGCAGCCATCATTGCAGTAAAGGCGAGAGGACACACTTGCAGTGAAAGAGATCAAGATTCAGAGTGAAAGAGATCAAGATTCAGACAACAGCTGATCTTTCACCCCTGAGGTTCTCTTACCACCCAAGTGGGGGTAGTCGGCCCTTCAATTTTTAAAAAAGAAGAAGAAGAAGAAGAAGAAGAAGAAGAAGAAGAAGAAGAAGAAGAAGAAGAAGAAGAAGAGGAGGTGGGAAAAGAAAAACGGAAAAGAAAAGATTCAGACGGAACTGCATAGCAGCATTTAGCCATCATTGCAGACAAGGAGAGGCAATCATTGCAGTGAAAGAGATCTACATTTGAAGATTCAGACAAAGTGCATTGCAGCAGAAGTTTATTAGTTTTGTGACTCTGTGTCATCACTGACTCGTTACCATGAAAGTAGCATGAGCAACTGCATGTGATTGTGATGGACAGAGTCTGAAACTTACATGTATAAGCTGAACACCGAAAACAGCGTAGGCAACAGGCAATGCGCTGTCGACAAATGGCGCAAGAGAAGACACATCTGGAGTCGTCATGTTTTGTGGGTCAGGACTTGCAAAATACCTCACAATTTCTTCAGGGAGCCGAGAGACCTGCCATTGCCATCCAGTAACGAAAACCACTGCCGTAAATATATATTATATAATTATGCAAATACATATGACATCCTGATGGAAGAAGAAGAGATCTAACTACTGCCACGAGGGAGCAGTTATAATAAACCAATTTATGGATTTTAATGAAATTTAATCAAATTTATCAAAGATAATCAAACCCATCACCCGCAAGCAATTGCAATGGCTGAGTTTTCTTTTTTTTTGGTAAAAAGAAGAAAAAATGATTGATTTGATACAGTACTAGGAAACAGAAGCTTTGTTCTTTTATGTATTTATTTACTGGCCTGCGTACCTTGGTTGCCCCGGGGGGGCGGGTTGGCAAGGGCCACAGAAGATCCCTACAACAGCAAAAAAAAAAAACTATGTCATGCACAAAAATAAAGTGAACAACTGTTGCCCCAGGGTAAAATCGAAATTCCTTACCAAATCAAAAATTAAAATTAACATTAACATATATGGCGAGGGGAACACAGAAAGAGCAAACAGAGACCCCAAGACTCCAGCGGCAAACAGCGATGTCAACACAGCACAATCGAAATTTGAATCGGACTGAAGAGGCTCTCCTATCATTTTGATCATACACTCATTGCAATGTACTTTTGGGGACGCTGGACCCGTTTTCCAGCAGGTGCAGCTGCCCACCAATAGAAAGGAGAGCCATCACAGGGGTATGGTACCTGATGATGCTCATATCATCTCAGCTAACAGTCCCAGCGGATGTTAAAAAAAAAAAGAAAAAAGAAAAAGAAGAAGAAGAAGTTGGATGTGGGGCACGCAGAAAAGATGCATGCTCCGAAGAGGGGCACATGGCAACAGAAGGGCCTCGGCCTCTGCAGTCCACGGCCAAGGGCCTATGGTGAAGTTGGCTGTGGACAGGAGAGGGGCATATGCAGAAGTTTCCGAATTTCGTTGTACCCCTGTGTTTTAGGGGTATCTGACGAAGTACCCCAACTTTTAGGGGCCTTTCAACAATTTCCCAAAAAATAAATAAAGTAGGCTATGGTAGCTACCAGAGTATGTATATGTTTTTGGCCCGGCCTGGGCAAGTGGTCCTGGGGTCTGGTCCCACCTAGGGTTGTTGAGTTTAGAAAACTCAGCAGTGTGACGCCATGTCGACATTAATAAATTCGAAACAACAAATAAAAAAACTGAAAAAAACGCTAGAAACAGCTTTTCTCCTTATTTTTTATAACGTAACTGGGAGATGAAACATGTCTGTAACAGTCGGAGTGAACGTCTCCGTGAAAAAAAGGATACTCCCCGTGGTGAGGGGACAGGAGGTCACCATTTGTAAAATGGACAGGGACGACGTGGATGGCCAAATGCATTCATTGCCCAAAGAAGGAAACGAGTTTGATGCCAGACAGCCAAACACAGCTGTCAGAGTTCCTCCGTTTCAGGATGCAACAACCGATTTTTAATAACCCCTACATCCTCTTAGAAGACCTTCCTTTTCCCATTTCTGGTCCATCTGCATTTGGCCACTCCTGGATGGCGCGAGGGGTTGCCACTTTAGCACATTTGTGGGATTCCCCCGCAAAGAATTGGAAGACACATGAAGCAATGTCAGAGCAACTGCGCGAACTGTGGAATTGGAGGCATCATCTGGATCTCATACATATAGCTCTGCCGCCAGAGTGGGAACAAGTGTTGCAACAGGAACGTTATCTACGGGGTACTTGGCTCAAGGACAACTCAGAGATTAGGCCAACCAGACTGTGGAGACTAGAACATCAAACATCCCCGACTCAATGGGAGATGACAAGCTGGAAAGCTAATGATGGATATACAGGTCTTGGATCATTTTTGCACAGATCAACTGTGGCTCCAATTATTTCGGGATTGCAGGGTTTGGTTGCTGTTTGCGTACTGGAATCTGTTTCTAGATCCTCGAAACTGGTACTGGGATAACCCCAAGCAACCTGGAACTGTTGTCCCATTATTGAGACATACTGCTCGTTTTGCCTATTCACCACTGCAACCAACTTGTGATATTGATTGGGAGATTACAAGAATATGGTCAGCTAGGGGTTATGCTATTATTCCGGACAGACTGAAAGCTTTCTGGAAGATGTTGCCTACTCTGATGGTGACGAAGCATGCTGGACTTCTCTGGTCAATCATGCATAATGCTGTCCCCACAGCGGAGATGTTATTCCGTAGACGACGGACAGGTTTGCCTTTCTGCACAGCATGTCCGTCTGTACACATGGTGGAAGATCAATGCCATCTTTGGCAAAGTTGCCTCATTGTGCAACCAGTTTGGCACCATTGTCAACAACATTGTATTTTTCCGAAGGAGTGGGGTGTGACATGGACCTCAGAAGTCATTTTATTTGGCTCTGTCATCCTTTGTCTTACCAAACCTAGAACGTACTTTTTTGAATCAGTTCGAGCAGCTATACTTTGGCAACTTTGGAAGCAGCGTAATGCAGTGGTTCGAAATGGGGACTGTCCTTCTCTACTGCAACTTCTTAGTAAGCTTAGACGCTCTTTGCGACAGATTATTTTTTTAGATTGGAAGAAACGAGTCAACAGTGTGCAAGGCTCTAGAGCTGGAGTACAATGGTTCAGAAACTATTGGGCGTCTTGTCCCAGCCTGGTATCTATTGATGGCTGTACAGGGGACATTTCCTTTGGTCCTTTCTTGTTACAGTAGATGTTTCACAGGGGACGGGCTCGGCTTCCTGGATGAAGTGGAGACCTCGCCGCCCCTGAGGACACAGATTGTATGTTACTGTTTTTCTGCCTTGGGCACTGGGCCCTAATTTAGGATTAAAAAAAAAAAAAAAAAAAAAAAGGAAAGGCACTGCAGTTGAGAAATCTACCCTACCGTTTTCTCAATGGAAAATGGCTTCCCGCCCAAACCAAAAGGGCCAACGCATACTACAAAACGGATTTCACGTCAAAAAAAAATTCTACAAAATGACTAAATCTAATAGGTTATTCTCCTGTATTTTGGTACCGTTAGATTCGCAATACATCAACGGCAGAGCTCCGTCCCACCATGCCACACGTGATAGAAAGCTCAGCATTGAGAAAACTCAACGTTGTAGGTGGGACTAGACCCATGGGCCACTCTGGTAGCCTAGCCGGTGGGCCAGGGCCACTCTGGTAGCCTAGTTTATTTATTTATTTTTCGGCTAGGCTACCAGAATGGCCCAGGACCACTTGCCCGGCCAGGCCAAAAATAAAATTAGATTAAATTATAAATATATATATACTTCGAAATTTGGTAAAGAATTTCAATCTGACCCTGACGCCAACGTTGTTCAGTTTATTTTTCTGCATAACGTTTTTCTTTTCAGAATTTTCAATTTTTCAATTTTTTTTTCTTTTCTTTTGCTGCGACCTTTTCTGGTTTCCTTGCACGGCCGTGCAGGCCGGCCCGGCTGGTAGCCTAGTTTTTTGGGAAATTGTTGAAACGACCCTAAAAGTTGGGGTACTTCGTCAGATACCCCTAAAACACAGGGGTACAATGAAATGCCCAAATTTCTGCATATGCCCCTGTCCCATCCACGGCCAACTTCACCGTTGGCCCTTGGCCATGGACTGCAGAGACCAAGGCCCTTCTTTTGCCATCTGACCCTCTACTGGGCAAGCATCTTTTCTGCCTGCCCCACATCCAACTTGGCACCGGTCCAATTCGAATTTCGATTGTCTTGTGTTGACGTTACTGTTTGCCACTGGAGTGTTGGTCCCCAAGTTTCGCTCTTTCTGTGTTCCCCTCACCATAGCCAGCCAGGTAAGATGCTTGCACGTGACACACCTTTCCTCCGCTTGCTCTTCATCCACTTCCTCCTCTCCCTCCCACCTTTCCTCCTCCTCCTCCCTTTTCATCTCCATCACCTTCAGGGGTATCTGAAGGGGAACTTCGCCATACCCATTGGTGAGTGGGGTATTTCATAAAGTTCCACAACTGTCATAGGGGCATTTCGCCATACCCATGCCTCTTAGGGGTATCTGACAATACACCCCAACTTTCAGGGGCATTTCAACAATTTTCCCTTTTTTTTTCTCATTTGCAGCATCCCACTAATAGATGGAGCCTGCAACGCAGGGACCCACTTAAGGAGGATGCTGGTATCACCCCCTTTAGTGGCAACCCCAATGGTCCAAAATTCAAAAAAAAAAAAAGCAAAAAAAAAAGCAAAAAAAAAAAGCAAGGAAACAAAAGCTTTGCACAGTCACTGTCGTTACTAGATATATTTAATGATATATTAAATAGTATTTTATTAAACCATGAGCACATGTGGCGGCGCCAAATCTGAACTTCAAATGCAACCCCTAACCTCGCCCTATTTTCGGACACTCCCCAGAAGGGCGATCTTGTCAGATCAAGGGTCTGACTCTGAACCAATGGGCAAAATTCTCTTCAACAAGGGGTTAGGTGGGTGGATGTGTGCACAAGGGGGGGCCGGAGGGAGAAAAGGGGCAATGGCCCAAATGGTCAACAGGGACGGTTAAACCCCTGGGGAAGGTACTAACAATGGTTTAACATCTGGGCGCACCACCTCCCCCTTGGCGAGGGGAAGGTACTAACAATGGTTAAACATCTGTGCAATTTCGGGGACTCCTGGCTTTGGCAAGGGGTTCGCACTCTGGCAGATATCTTGGACGTGCAGGCCTGCTATTTTGAAAGCATCCGAAGTTTTGACAATTTAATTGCCAGGCTGATGATGCACTCGTCAGTCCACCTAGAACCGGGTCCTGTTTTTCAACAAAAAAAAAAAAAAAGGCTTGTGGAACCAGCAATGTCATTTGCAGCAATTGAAGCACCCTGTTCCGGCCTCTGCGCTTCATGTATTGCGGTCAGGGATAACTCCCAAAAGCGGCATTTTTTTCTTTTTTTTCACATTTTTATTTGAATAAGGCAAACGGCCTCGAGATGTCACCATAGAACTGACAGGCCTCAGATAATTCAGAATTGTGGTATTTTGTTCATCTAAAAGCATCTGGATTCGGTCCTGGGTCTGTATTGCAGCAGTTCATGAGTGGACCGCCTGAGCTATGCCTGTTTGTCAAGCAGGGTTGTTGGTACAAACACTCCCAACAGTTCTCGCCTGTGCAGTGCGGATTTGGAGAATCAAGGACGATTTTGTTCCTAGGGACCTGCAAGCCTCCTGTTGGGACACTGCAGCGGTCCCTTTTCCTTTGGGCCCAACCCTACAGATGGCATCAGATCCTTTGGCGCTTTCCACGATTGATCAATTGATGCCCGTGTGTGCACTGGAGACCTATGATAAGTCGGAGACCCTTTTTTTTCCCCTTTTTTCCCCTTTGAACTTCAGAGGTGGGAGGCCACTTGGGGGTGATATAAGCATCCTCCATAAGAAGGTCCCTTGTTTGAAGACTCCATCTATTGGTGGGGAGCTACACCTGCTGGAAAATGGGTCCAGCGTCCCATCAACAGATCGTGCTTGTGACCATACTGGGAACAGATAAGATTTAGAATCCCAAGACTCCTGTCTGTGAGCAGCATTGATTACCCTGGGTTCCAGTGACTGACTGCCCTTTAGTCGGGGAGACCTTTTTCGCTCTCTCATTTTTTATTTTTATTTTTTCGCTCTCAGTTCCTGCTTAAGCAAGTAGTTTGTTCGCAGGCGCTGCCTGTAAGCTAAGCTGGCTGATGCTGCCAGATACTCCGGGTTGAATTGTGAGAACCCCGGCCTCTGGTTATATTGGCAATATAATTGGTTTCCATTAAAAAAAAAAAAAAAAAAAAAAAATCCCAGTTTATTTAAAAAAGAAACCCGAAAAAAAAAAAGGTTGATCCCAGGGATTGGGTTTGGGACACTCCACAGCACAGCCACCAAGTGGTTCCCCTTTACGCGTACTCTACTCACTTGGGCTATCAGATTCTTAAGCCTGTGATTGACGACGTTTCATGGACTGTACTGTACTAGCTAAACAGTGTGGATGGCAACGCAGTGGATAGTGGACTTGTTATTGTTACCTCGATTGGCTGGCGCTTTCTTTTTTTTTTTGTTTGCTTTTTTTTTTTTCTCTTTTTTTTTTTCCTCGTTTTTTTCTTTTTTTTTTTTTTTGTGGGGGGGGGGGGTGATCGATATCGCACGCCAGCTTTCTTTGGCTGGTGGCGCAATTGGATGTGCCAACCGGCCTCTCGTGTGCCAAACGCACTGCAAAGACAACCCCCTTCTTTGCCCAGGTACACGGCTACTACACGCATCCACGACCTTCAGCATTTCTGCTTGCAATGTGACCTGTCCATCATACTGTTCCGGGATTGGTGGAAGAATTACCGCTTCCGGCGATCAATGCGTGCCTAGGAACTGGCCTCTACAACACCCTGGACTTAAAAAAAAAAAAAAAA